ATATTTCTGAAGTAATAATGTTCATCAAATATCGATGGCGGGCGGTGATTCAGAAGCATACGAGCCTGCATCCGATCCATCAGCTTGATAGTGGTCATTTTTCAGCGGCGTCTGGGTTGCCACCGTGGACACCGATCGTTCAGGACCATTTTCAAGCGGCAATGCAAATGGTGGTGAAACGGTACTCTTGCGAACCGAATACATCGGAACAGCTCCACGACTGTAGATATTCGCCAACGCCTCGCGAAGCTGAATAAAACCACGTTACTGGATGTACAACACATATATGAGTTTCCTTTTTGGGTGAATCAGAAATTTTGTCGAGGAGAGTATTTTGGATAATAAATACATCCTAAATTCTGAACTTAAAAGTGTTATAAGCAATAGAATTTATTTTCTAATTAATCATTTTTATGGAAGCGTCTACGACTCTTCGAATATGGAAACAGAAAAGTCATGTCAACTGCCTGTTATTTTGTGCTGAAAGTAACGACTACGAAAGCGAGGCACAGTTAAAATGCTGACTTTGATGTACAGAGTGATAAAGGGTAGGCACAGTGTTGCTTGGTAGGCGTTTGTGAATCCAGCCTGTCTGCGCTTTCTGTTTTGAATAGCATGATTGAAGGAGAAAGCGTATTTGCAGGGCGTATGCGCTCGCTTTGTCGATCACTAATTCAGTAATGTCAGTGAAAGGATTACTTGTAAAGAAAGTAGTCATTCGGCCAACTTTTCAGAAATCGAAGACAAAACAGAAAATAAAAACAGCAGGTTCAAATTAAGACACTGGTTAGATCATTTTTATGGTATGTAGATGGATATTCGATGAATGATAATTTCTCAACACTCACAGGAGGAATATTCAAAAAATCCTGTCAGAATATGCCACAGATGTCTCACTCACGAAAACCTGACGTGTAGCTGCATTTTTGATAACCAAGATTTTGTGAAAAGATCATCTCTGGCAGACTGTTACTCTTTTAAGTGTACTCCTGTCAAACTAATCATGGAAAAGTGTCAAAGTAAAAAACAGATACACCTCTTTTATGGATACAACACCCATAAGTCGGCCTCGATTCGTCACATACGCATGATTGAGACCGAGCAACGAAAACAGTGTGTGCACCTGCAAACCGTTCATTCACACTTCAGCTGAGTTGCTTTCGGCCGCTGTACAGTAATATGGTCAAGCTCTGAAGTAAGAGTATCGGGAAGGAATAGAGAGCGCGCATCCTAAGCGTAAGATACGCAAGTTCAGTAATTGAGCGACGACTGGGACACTGTAGTATTCAGCGTAAGATTCGATTTGCCGAAAGATATTTTGCACTTTCAAAAGTGTTTTAGGGTAAGATTGTTTCTACAATAAGATTTTACAGTAAGCGTCTTCGAAATCAAATCAGCACACTTTGTTTAAGTTGCTCCAAATCAATACTGGATTCACTCTGATGCTTTGATCATATGTTGTGACGCGCACACAAGTGCAGCATCTGTCCGCGTGATTACAGTAACCAAAGTTAACCTGATCGGAAGACCGCTCATGATTCTGGCGGCCTTTTGTTCTTTTTATTTCGGAGAGGAGTGCTAGTGTTACATATTCATTTCTCTGCCTGCCTTCTCCTCTAGCGATTTTCCTACGCTTTTCATGCGCTTTTGCTGTGCAGCACCATGGCGCTGCTACAGCGAGCGGAAACGCATACTGTCGAGAGGCCATCTGTGTATGTGTGTGTTCGGAAGTGAGTGAACTTTGTTACCCATTTTCATCTTTCAACTTCCAGTGAGCTGGAAATTTGCATTTTTTCTAAGAGCGAGCATTTACCAGAAAAGCGATTGAACTTCATGCAAAAAATTGATAATCACGTACCTGGAGGTCCACGCTGTCCTACAATGCAACGCTTTCATCCTAACCGACGCCCTTCTGCTGCACGCCGAAAGAGACCAGAACACGGCCAATATAAGCTTAAGTGTTAGGTTACAGCGCAGGGATCATTCCTGCTTTTAGCGATCTGCGAGTCAAATGCAAAAACGCATGGTCGCACTGGCAAGCCTGATGCGTTCCAGCCTGCTTTAGTAATTGTCATTTCTCGTGAGAAGTTTGTGGTGGGAACTGATAGCTTGGGAATTTCTACGACTACCAGGTTTGGAGAACACAGACTTTCGAAGTCATACAAAGTGATACTATGTAACTCAGGCTATGAAATCC